CTAAATGGCCTAGCAGCCCATCCAAACGTGTCCAAAACCAGAGTAATTTGACACGCCTTGGATTTTGATTATTGACCCTGGGGCCGGGTACAGCTTTAGTCCTCTAAATTTCATCGTCCATGCGATACGGGTCTCTAATTTTGGTCTTTGTTTGATCGGGCCCTCTAGCATTCTTGGTTTGTGCAATTTAGTCCTCTAAATTTTATTTCTTGCAATCGAGCCCTCTGACTTTTTCGACTTGTGCAATTACATCATTCGATCAACCGCTCTCATCACTCATCAAATTAATTCAATGTCCCGGTATTGTCAGTGTGGCGGAATTGGCATGCGACGCTAATGCAGCACCAAATGACTGCTAAATTGGTGCAAAACAAATGGAGGAGAACAAAGAAATTTTAGTTTGACAATTCTAGTTGTGACGGGGTAAACGAAACGCTTGATTGCACAAATCAAGACAGTTGGCATAAAAGTAAGAGGATTGAATCACATAAACACTTAAACTCGAGGACTAAAGTTATACATTATCCCTGACTCTACCATAATCTACAACTAGAGGCTCATAATGGTGACTTGTAAACATGGACACATCTACCTGTATTTATTACGTCAGCAGATGAATTTGGAACAATATGAAGTTTGTTAAAGATAAAGTGATTCTTCCAGTAATGTCCCATTTATTATAAATTGCATATCATGATCTTTTTTCAGCAAAAAAGAAAAAGAAAAAGAACAGGAGCAAACAGAATGGTAGCTGAAATTGGAAAAGGCAAGGCATGAAAAGGATCACTCATTCTACAATGTTCAAGAGTATATTTTTTTGCTTTTGTAAATTAGAGAAAAATAAATAAATTGAAGGAAAGTCATGCGGATATTCATGTTATAGAAATATACAAACATGTTATATATATACACACACTTATATATGAATTAGTACAGAATCAAGAGTAATAACATTACAGGTATTAAAATGCTTAGTTATTGAGAAATTTCTTATTTTGCGTCATTTTCTACCAATTCTATATACCAAGATCAACCACAGGGGATTGCCCCAGTGGCCGCCTTTCCTACATGGGAAGGAGGAGGTGGAGAGTTCGAATCCCCACCTTCTCAAGAGGCTGGGGGCGGGAGCGTTTAGTTTCAGGTGTGAGGTTCGACTCCCACGTTCTGAGAGTGAGTTGAGAGTTAGAGTAGGATAAGATAAAAAAAATTTTACCGAGATCATAAATTCATAGGTGCTGATACTTAAGAAATAAAAAGAGGAATGAGTTTACTTAAAGCTAGAGTGCCGGGCAAATGTATGTAAACATATCGGAAAAATTACCAAAAAAATCTTAAATTTATTGTACTTGTGTGAGTTCAATCCTAAATTTTTTAATTTGACTAATTTAATCCTAAACATTTTTAAAAATTTGGCAATATATTCCATCAGACCGGTAGCCTCGGCAATGGCCGGCAATCGACCAAAGGCGACGACCGGTAAGGGTCCCTCTCTCTCTCTCTTACTCATTAGGGGAGGGGACATCCGACCTGGCGTTCCGAGATTGTCCCGCGTTGTTGTTGTGTAGTAACGGTTTTGCCATCGGTGAAAGGCTGCCACATCGTTCGCTAAGGGGGCAAAAAAAACACACACACACACGTCGTCCGCCATTGAAAGAGCGTGGACAGCACGAGGATGAGGATTGGTGTTTTCTTAGGAGGTCGCTGACGTACGATGATGCCGGAACCTAAGCATGTCCCTAAAGGCGGCTTCATCTCAGTTCTCGTCCGGACATCGAGATCACCGGAATGTAAAACAGTTGGAGGATATTTCCTCCTCCCGAGAAAAGAAAAAGATTTGGAGGGAATTGAGAGTACAGTGCATGCGGGCACCGACACGTTTGTATATCAAATTGACAGATCGCGGAGACTCTTGTAGGAGTTTCGACTCCTTCCCTTTGGTGAAGCTAACTCTTAACCAAATACCATGGATCCAAAAGAAGCCTCTACTAAAGGTTAACTCTATTCGAAAATCAATATCAAACATAGTAATTTTTCGTACTCTCTTTATTAGTGGTAAATTAACATATTTATATCTATTTTTCGACCAGTAATGTTTTGAAATGCCATTGCGTCACTTCGAAATGGATGGTCGTCTCTCTCCATCCTCGGCCTCGAAAAATGTTTGCTCGGATTTTAAATTCAAGGTATTATTACTCTTTTCCTTCGTGATACTTTATTTTGTGGACGTGTTTGATTATAGGGAAAATAGCGCAAATAATCCCTAAACTTTGATCCAATGTGTAATGTCATTCTCGGACTTTTAATTTGTTCAGTGTAATATCTGAACTTTGGTCCAATGTACAATATTATCGCTAAACTTTTAATTTGTTCAATATGGTCCTTGAACCTACATTGAACATTTACCAATAGTTCATATTTGTTAAGGGACGGCATTGCACGTTATACCAAAGTTCAGGGATTACAATGCATAAATTAAATATTTAAGGACGACATTGCACATTGACTTAAAGTTCAAGGACTATTTGTGTTATTATCCCTTGATTACATAAGTTAGTCGGGATAATTGTCCAAAAAAGTCCTAAATATATTGTACGACAGTCGATTCAGTTCTAAATTTTTCAATTGTGTCAATTCAGTCATAACTTTTTGATGATTTGCCAATTTAGTTATAAACCTTTATTTGTATTAATATAGTCCTAAACATTTTGAAATTTTGCCAATCTAATCCAAACCTATTATTTGGATATTTGGCCAGAATGACTACATTGACAAATCATCAACAAGTTTAGGACTAAAATGGCAAATCATCAAAATGTTAAGGACTAAATTGGCACAATTGAGATGTTTAGAACTAAATTGCATATCGTCAAAAGGTATAGGTCTATATTGGCACAATTGAAAATTTTAAAACTGAATCGACCTCCGTATAATAGATTTTAGGATTTCTTTGACAATTTTTCTTAAGTCAGTCCCTAGACTCCAGTCACTTAATTCGAAACACCCAAAAAAAAAGAAGAAGAAGTAGAAGAAGATAGCCATCCTCTTAATATTCCATATCACGTATGCAAACACATGATTCGATGTTGAGACAGAAACATCCCGAGGGAAATATTGATTCGAATCCATCGTGGGACAACTGCATTTGATTCTTAATGAAAATGAAGCCAACAACATGTGTTGGTGCAGTAACATGTCTCCAATCATTTGACCCTTTTAGTTTTTACTAGCCCAATTGCAATGTTTAGCTACTTGCGCTCCAAGTGCAAAGCTGCTTTTCAAAAGTTCTTCCAAACTCGCTCTACACGGGCTCGGGCCTATTTCGTCGAAAATGACGGGTCCGACCGAACGCCGGGCATAGGTCACCGAGCACTTTATCGAGCCTAAATGGCCTAGCAGCCCATCCAAACGTGTCCAAAACCAGAGTAATTTGACACGCCTTGGATTTTGATTATTGACCCTGGGGCCGGGTACAGCTTTAGTCCTCTAAATTTCATCGTCCATGCGATACGGGTCTCTAATTTTGGTCTTTGTTTGATCGGGCCCTCTAGAATTCTTGGTTTGTGCAATTTAGTCCTCTAAATTTTATTTCTTGCAATCGAGCCCTCTGACTTTTTCGACTTGTGCAATTACATCATTCGATCAACCGCTCTCATCACTCATCAAATTAATTCAATGTCCCGGTATTGTCAGTGTGGCGGAATTGGCATGCGATGCTAATGCAGCACCAAATGACTGCTAAATTGGTGCAAAACAAATGGAGGAGAACAAAGAAATTTTAGTTTGACAATTCTAGTTGTGACGGGGTAAACGAAACGCTTGATTGCACAAATCAAGACAGTTGGCATAAAAGTAAGAGGATTGAATCACATAAACACTTAAACATCTACCTGTATTTATTACGTCAGCAGATGAATTTGGAACAATATGAAGTTTGTTAAAGATAAAGTGATTCTTCCAGTAATGTCCCATTTATTATAAATTGCATATCATGATCTTTTTTCAGCAAAAAAGAAAAAGAAAAAGAAAAGGAGCAAACAGAATGGTAGCTGAAATTGGAAAAGGCAAGGCATGAAAAGGATCACTCATTCTACAATGTTCAAGAGTATATTTTTTTGCTTTTGTAAATTGGAGAAAAATAAATAAATTGAAGGAAAGTCATGCGGATATTCATGTTATAGAAATATACAAACATGTTATGTATATACACACACTTATATATGAATTAGTACAGAATCAAGAGTAATAACATTACAGGTATTAAAATGCTTAGTTATTGAGAAATTTCTTATTTTGCGTCATTTTCTACCAATTCTATATACCAAGATCAACCACAGGGGATTGCCCCAGTGGCCGCCTTTCCCACATGGGAAGGAGGAGGTGGGGAGTTCGAATCCCCACCTTCTCAAGAGGCTGGGGGCGGGAGCGTTTAGTTTCAGGTGTGAGGTTCGACTCCCACGTTCTGAGAGTGAGTTGAGAGTTAGAGTAGGATAAGATAAAAAAAATTTTACCGAGATCATAAATTCATAGGTGCTGATACTTAAGAAATAAAAAGAGGAATGAGTTTACTTAAAGCTAGAGTGCCGGGCAAATGTATGTAAACATATCGGAAAAATTACCAAAAAAATCTTAAATTTATTGTACTTGTGTGAGTTCAATCCTAAATTTTTTAATTTGACTAATTTAATCCTAAACATTTTAAAAATTTGGCAATATATTCCATCAGACCGGTAGCCTCGGCAATGGCCGGCAATCGACCAAAGGCGACGACCGGTAAGGGTCCCTCACCGGCCCCACATGAGGTCCCCTTGCAAGGGGCGACCTCGCCAGCCTCAAGCGAGCCTCTCGCTTCGCCAGATCTTTGGAGCTCGAGCCTCGCTCGGAGTTGGCGGGGCCTCGACATCGTCGGTTGTTGCCTGTGTGGCTTGTCGCCGAGGCTCAAGTGAAACGGAAGGTTTTGTTAGGTGGCGACGCCATTCCTCGCAGCATCTCGAACGTCTCTCTCTCTCTCTCTCTCCTCCACTGCACATATTCTCCGTGTCTCTCTGTGCCTTCCTTTCGAATTTTCAATCGCAACGCCGTTTCTTCCGCCTTCTCCCTCCGGTCCAACCTTCCCTTTCCCCTTCGCACATATTCTCTCCCTCTCTCGCGAGCGAGCATTGCGTGAACCCTTCCCGGTTTCCGGTCTTTCCTTCCCCGTCTCTGAGAACCCACCGGAGCAAAGACCGGTTGCTCGGCTACGTACCCAGCTCGAAACCTCCCGCTTCGCCGCCGCCGCCGCCGCCGCCGATTTTCTTGGAGGGTCGAACTCCGAACTCCGACTCGGGTTGGTCTCTGTTTTCGCCGATCGTTCACCCAGCTCCATGGATTCCCAGGTGCTGGTGGCCCTCGCCCTCTCGCTCGTGGGTGGTCTGAGCACTTCCGTAGGTGAGAGATTGCTGATTCTTGCATCGTTTGGGTGGTCTTGGCCTTGGATTTGCCTTGCCGGTCCTCTGTGATGGGATCTTGATCCGTGTCTTTTGGGGTGGCTTAAACTGACCGTGGCAAGCAATTTTGGTGTAACGTTTGTATAGGGATAATACTTTTGATCCTACCCGGCATTCTCCTCTTCAGTTCTACAGTAAAGTATTGTGCTGTTTGCTTCTGTGCTTTGTAAAGATTGAAGACAGCATGTGATGAGGGTATTATCATCATTTTATGCTCTCTCATTAAGCAGCATAGGAAATTTGGAAGAGAGCTGACCCTCCTGCCTATTCGTTTTCCTTCTCTTTTTTTGGCAATTTGACTGTGAGCACCAGATATGCTAGGCGCATGATAATTCTTGTTCGCTTGGTAGTATGTGTTGACATGGTCTGCTTATTATATGGTGATTCAGCAATGCCGATTCCATATCATGTTTTTCTAATTTGAATTCTGGGTTCTGGGATGTGGAACAGGGGCACTAATTGTTATTCTCAACCCGGCTCCAAATTTGAAGATGCTCGGTCTTTTGCAGGTGATGCTCCAAGACAGACATTTTTTAAAGTTCTTTGTTTTTCTCGTGACACCAGCCGTTAGGTTCTTGCTGGGAAAGTTTTAACTGACCTCGCATTTTTAACTTAGATGCGGTCTTTTACATGAAGCATTCATGTTTTTGTCATAATATTTGTTCGCTGAGCTTGGGTCTTGTATGATTGATTCAAGGAGACAGTGTCGGCTTATTTTAAGTATAGTGGCATTAACCCAAAGATGGCATATCACAGGGTTTTGCTGCAGGCCTTATGCTGAGTATATCGTTCCTAGATTTGGCTCACAATGCTTTGAACTCAATTGGCTTTCTGAAAGGGAACCTTTGGGTAAGCAATAGTGTTCCTGCTCATCAAGTTTACACAGATGATTAAACAAGAAAAATCTGCCCAAATGAGTAATCCACCCATTTGATCATGTTTATTTTGATGATCAATGTCCACTTTCTTGGTAATGCAGTTTTTTGCAGGTGTCATGTTTTTCGCTATTGTGGTCAATTTTATCCCAGAACCAACGATTACCCCCACTTCTGAATTGAAAAATAAGAAGGTGCGATAGTCATTGGATGAAATTCTAGCTAAGTACGAGTCTTTTGAATATCTTGTCACTGTAAGCCAAAATGCATGCTGATTCTCTGATAATATATTTAAGAACAGCATACAGGGGATGAAGGGGGAAAGGATGTGATGAAGAAGCATCGGCGCCAGGTTCTGTTTAGCGGGATCATTACAGCAGTAGGTATGACTTCTCTGTGTTCTTTGTGTATAGCTTATTATTAGAAAATCATTTTTTTCTTCTTTTTGAAGTCTTCCATGTATTGATTCTATTGTTCAAGTCTATATCTTGTCACTGCAATAGCCACTTCACCCCTCTACATGCAAGCTTGATACACTAGCATCTACTTTGCTATGAAGGAGAATATTATCTTGTCGTTGTTCTTTTTTCCAGTGATAAAAGTTGATATTAGGGACGGGGCTATAGCTTGTTCAGTGGGGCCACTGCCCCCATTTCAAGTCTGATGTTCCATTTAATATATGTTATTCTTGTGATGAGGATACTAATTCATCCATAGACTCTTGGCTTTCCCCCCCTAAAGTGGCTTTGATAGTCCAAACTGGTCTTGTGTTGCGTTCAAAGATAACCCGACTCAAAGCAATGGTGTTTTGCTCCGTTGCTTTTAGCAACTTCATTAGAAATTACAAAGACTGTTCTTTTATTTTAATGTGGTTCTCAAAGCAAAGAATAGACAAGTTACATTTCGTTCGGTGTTGTTTTGAATGTCTCCACTCGCCCTGCTTTGACCCTGCTTGATATGCAGTTTGTGGGATTTGCACATTTGTCAATGCATACTTTGTCCGGCGGAGAACAGTAACTAATTGTCGCTTGCACGTGGACATATTTAATGTTGGCTAATCTAGCTAACATCGAAGTAGTAAAATAAAATTGTCTTCTAGGTAGCTGGCGAATCTCAGCTACAGGTCTGTAATGTTTTCCATATATGCTGCTAATATATAGCAGTAGATAGTGAGTGTGCTTGCTCATCCTCACAGATATAGTGTTCTCCAATATGTCAAATTTGGCGATCAGCAAGTTATCATCTTGAGGAGATACTCTTGATGCAGCCGTTGGTTGAAAGAGTTGATTGTTGATCAAAATTTTGTGCCCGCAGTTATTATTGATGAACCGAACATTTCTCTTTTCAATTGTCTCGTAGGGATTAGCTTGCATAATTTTCCAGAGGGAATGGCTGTCTTCCTTGGATCCATGAAGGTAATTGAGCCACCTCTCATCCTATAACTCATAGGAGTTTAAATAGAGCAGTACCAGTAAACCAAATTATGAATACTGATAATTGGCTACTCGAGCATTAGTCAGAATGTTTTATTTCTGTTCACTTTAAAGTCCTTTCTTTTTTACTATTTGGTATGCTTGCAATTGCTGTCATGGAAAACTGTCAATTAGACAATGCTTTCCTTTATTTTTGTTGAAGCCTTGCTTTAAGAATTGTATTTTGAAGAATCTTATGATTTAGGTTCTCTTTTAGAATATCTGGTGATTTAGCCCAATGAGCTATTTGAGGCAAAAGGAGCTATAGTTCTAGTTGTTTCTGTATGAAGTACTCCCATTCCAGATAAGGGGTTTAGTATTCTCAAGTTACTGCCGCTTACTCAGTACCTTTCAACTCCATTGCATGCTTTTGGAATTGATTGAATGACAATTATGATATTTATTGCTTTGCCACTCTTTTATTCATCTACTCTATTGAATTTCTTTCAAAGAGTGATTAATTAATTCATCAAATAGTTTCATGCAATTAGCAGAACTTTTTCCGCATTATCTTGCTTCAGATATTATTGGTATATTGAGGCAAAAGAACACTACAAGTGCCATAACTTGTGTATGGCGCTCACTTTGGTGCCATAAGTTTTTTTGGATCATTTTAGTGCTAAAATTTTTGAAAAACGATCACTTAAGTGCTAAAATTTTTGAAAAACGATCACTTAAGTGCCAACTCTGGTGCCGTACACAATTTTTCGCCAGAAATCCGACGTGGCATTTTTTTTATTAATTTCTGAAGCTGACGTGGCTCGTCGGAGGCTCGCCGGAGATTGGCACTTAAGTGATCGTTTTTCAAAAATTTTAGCACTTAAATGATCGTTTTTAAAAAATTTTAGCACTTAAGTGATCGTTTTTCAAAAATTTTAGCACTGAAGTGATCCAAAAAAAACTTATGACACTTAAGTGATCGTTTTTCCTCCGACTTGGCACCAAAGTGATCCGAAAAAAAGTTATAGCACCAAAGTGATCTCCGTACACAAGTTATGGCACTTATAATGTCCTTTTGCCGTATATTGATGTCCTGAAATGACAAGATTTGTGCATGGATACTGCTGAAGTCTATTCACTGGCTAGATGTGCCTTTTGTAGGGCCTTCGTGTTGGGCTTAACTTGGCATTGGCCATTGCTTTGCATAACATACCAGAGGTATATTCTTCGGATTCAGTGACTATTTCCCTTGTTTATCTGGGCACTTTTACTTTTTCGTGGTATCTTCAGGTCCAGCTTTCAATCATACTTCCCGCAGTCCCCTATTTATATTGACACTGTCTATTTGGGCATCACATTGCATTATGGCATTGCCTTTGCACGTTTCTCTTTTATATGGGTACTTTGTTTCTGTGTGCAATTAAAACCATTTGAACTCATACATGGCCATTTTTTTCTTTCATGTGATTGTGTAGAATCTATGCCAAGGTATTATCTTACTTTGAAGAAAGCTGTCAATGCCAATGGAAGTATATTTGTATTATATATATGAAGATAGAAGTAAATTGCCTCATTATCTGAATATCGTGTGATAGGTTAATGCTCTTTAGAATGTCCTAACTTTAAAGTTTCTCATATAGGGCGTCGCTGTTGCATTGCCCATATATTTTGCTACACAAAGGTGAGAAGTTGTGCAGTGTCCATTTAGTCCAATGTTTCCCTTCATATGTTCCTTTTCTTATGCACCATTTACTAGATATGCTTTTTCCATCCTATCCTGATGTCATTTTCGTGATATATCTATTTGTTTATTCATTTATTGATGCTGAATGAATGTCTGATCTCCTATATGTCTCAGCAAATGGCAGGCATTCAAACTTTCAACACTTTCTGGTTTTGCTGAACCTCTTGGTGTAATTATTGTAGGTAGGCCAACTTATTCCTCTTATCTTAACTTTTCCTGTGATGAATAAGTTTGCTTGAGTAAGAGGAGATTTCTAATCCATATCAGGCCATATAGAAGTTTCATGAATGACAAAGCAGTTCTAGTTATCACTCCCGGGAATATTTCCCCTCAGACAATTAAACTGAAGTTCCACTCGTGCTTTGGCAGAGGAGAGACTTTGTGTTTTCTGCTGGGTTTAAGTTTTAATTGCGCAATTTGTTGTCTTCTATACATTAACTTCTTAAATTTTATGTTTATTTTGATAAGGCTCCTATTTTGCAGCCTATCTATTTCCAAGCAGCTTGAGTCCTGAAATCCTTGAGGGCCTGCTGGGTGCAGGTTTGTAATTGCTGGCAGTGCCTCATTATAGGGATACACAGTTAACTTTTGGGGTTTGATATTTCTCATTGTGCCCATCATTTTCTCATTGCATTTTGCAGTTGGTGGAGTGATGGCTTTTCTGACCTTACATGAAATGCTGCCACTTGCATTTGATTATGCCGGACAGAAGCAGGCTGTAAAAGCTGTGTTTTTGGGGATGGCTTTCATGTCAGCTAGGTATTTGGGCTCATTTTACCAAGATAACTGTTTATTGCAGTCCTGTACGATCTTCCTGGAGTCACCTTAATTGTTACCTTGAATAATTGAAATGGCTAGTACATCCTTGGTCTTTCTCAAAAGGAAGAAAGAAGATACAACCTTGACCCTATTTGCATCTGATAGTTGACACGATGAAGTAATGCTTACTTTCCTTTAGGTACCGTGATGAATGTCATACATATCTAGACATTAATATATGGTCCCAAGTGAACAAGACGGTAAAGTTACAATTTATTAAGTGGAAGACTTTAAATTCAATATAGGTAGCTTTCAGGTGCTTTTGACTAGTTGCCTTGTATTGATAGGGATATCTCAAGTAATAGTGCTGTCTGTGCACTTCATTTCACCTTTTGGACTTTGGGCTTATCAGCTTGAAGTTTGTTGATCCTCTGAAGAATTTGCTTTTTGGCTGCACGCATTCCTCATGCATCTTGTTTCTGCTTTCAGCTTATATTTTCTGGAAATCAGCTTACCCAGGGAGATGAGCTTATAGAGGATCCTAATAAAAAACTTTGGATGTTGCTGTTAATTATGAGTTTGACATCATAGGGCCATGTAACAATGACTTACAGGATCTAGTAGCCAAGAACTTTTTAGTTTCTCTATTGTCATGCGACTTGTGCTGAAAGCTGTAGCTATACACTCGTCTATATATACTTCTCTGTATACGATCATCTTCTTTGGAGGACTTTTCTCTTTTCCGTTCACTTAACTACCAAGCTGATCCCCCCCCAACATGAGAGCAATATTTCATTTTACTGCTTTCCCATATTTTATGAATTGCATCTCTTTTGCATGCAGGCAGGTTGAATTCTCTTAGGAATTCCCTCAGCATTACATTGATCTAAAACTTTTTGTGGGATGATCTGATCTCAATTTGGAACGGCATTATAATGCTGCCTCTCCTTTGTCTCTTAACCGAATTTTAAATTGCCTGCCCCTGCATACACGTCGTTTCTGCTTTCGACCGCTTAGTCGCTCCTCTGTCCGCATGCTAAAGCAATTGAAGTTTTTGAGTGAACCTGGTGTATGAGCCCGATCGAATATCAAGTGTTTGATCTAACGCGGACCCACACAATCCGCATATTGATATGCTGTAGACTTGTGTGCACCAAGAGCATGCTAATATAGTTCGTAAAATGTTTCCATCAGTCACAAGAAAAGCAGAAAACCCATCTTTCTTCTCAAGGAAAAAAGGGTTGCTTTTGATTGGATTCATGCATTTGAATATGATTTGAGTGAATAAGGTTGGAGATAATTAGGAGGAGAGAATAAAGAGGCCTACACTAGAAAAAGCAAAAGTAGAAAGGAGCTTGTCAATGACTTAAAAAGGAGAAAACAGAAAATTTTCCTTTATAAACTTTCTTGGAAAGAGTGATGAGCAATCATTTTGTGCATCAAATAGCTCTAAAATCCCTTCCTACAGAGAACTTCAAAGGATGGGATTGACGAGTCTCCGCTCTCAATTGGAAGCTGTACAGAACGGCCATTTGCCCAGAGCAGAAGGGTATGGAAAGCAATGCATTTGGATATGACTGCTTCACACGAAGTTCACAAAAGTTTCAGTCGTTTCAAGATTTTAATCAAAAATTTCATAAAAATCTATATCATTCCTCAGTTTCTTGAATAAACTCTGCATAAGGTTAAACTATACCAATATGCCCTTTTGCCAATGTAAAGAATGGAAGAGAAATGTATATACTCTGCATAAGGTTAAAGGTGAGCAAGAAAACCAAACTTGTGAACCTCGTGGGATTTTTGTAGGCTCCTAACCCGTACAAGAGAGATTTCATTGAACCTGTTGAAAACCTGTTGAAATAGCAAGATCCGATAATTCAGGATCGTGATGGGTAGTATATATGATAGTCTCGATTTCAAACTTTGAGTATCTAAAAGTCGAGTGTGACGGCAAGTCCGTCCAGGCTTACTCTCAAAGTGGATGGGACGAGTTTGGGAAAGTACTCCATTTCGAAAAGGCCAACCTCCCATCTTTTGGCCAAGTGCGAGAAATTATGTGCGTATTCTTTTGTCATGGATAAACTTTGTTAAATTAACAAGTTCTATGTCCAACAAAAAGCACTCGGGTAACAAGTTAGGCAGACCTTGAGTTAGGCTTAGCCTGATCTGTTCATTTCATCAAATCTAGCAAAAAAACTTGAAAGGTGTGAAGACTTTACTCTAGACTTATATCTCTTAATTTGCATAAGAACTTCAATTGCATTCCTCTTTTAACTCGATTGGATAGATCGCATTTAGCTTCCAATGGGCTTCTCTACTCTAGAATTTTATCGTTTTTATGTTGACAGATTTTTCAGGTTTTCTCGAAGAACCACGTGACCGTCCTTTCAATTAATCACTTCGTGTCGAGTTTTTTTTGTAAAAAATATAACGAGGGGTCAATAATGGATTCCCTTCATTTCATTCTCTCGTGATAAAGACCCATGTCGGTGTTGTCCAATGAAGGGGAAAAAGAGAGCAAGCAGATACAGTCGGAGTCTATTATTAATCAAGTTGAGTCTCTACAATAATTGCTCACAATCTCTATACTCAGAGAGAGAGAGAGAGAGATTTTGCAAAATTTTTCAAGCTCTTTTTTGATTTTGTCGAAAGAGGGTGTGTCCAAAAGGAGGTTTTTTGTCCTCTCTTTTTGTAATGTCTTGTTTTTTATTTCTTTTCCCTACTTCGACTTTTGAGCACCACTTTTTCTTTCATGCATTGAAAAAGAATGAGTGATTGAGCCCAAAGACTCTTTGCAAAGCTAATCCATAAGATCAATTTTGTGTCCATACTAAGATTCGTTTTCAAAGTACTTGTCTCTTTTTCCCCCTGTTCTACATCTATTCATAAAAGTAAGTCTAAGAGATTATAATTACAAAGCATATTCTCTAATGTTTCTCCAGAAACATCCTTACTTTCTTTGTTTACCAACTCATGTTGTAAAAATTCGTGGTTTTAATTCACTAGATTTTTTTTTATCTGTCATATTCTAACTCTCAACTCACTCTTAGACTTTTGTCCTACCTCTTTGCAGAGCGTGGAAGTCAAAACTCACATCTGAAACTAAACACTCTCACCCCTAGCCCCCATGAGAAGGTGGAGAATCGAACTCCTCACCTACCCCTTCCCAAGTAGGAAGGGTGGCCGCTAGATTTATCGGATAGAAAACCCTAAGTTCTGCAAACATCGCTCGCTCTCTCATCCGCGCGGTTAGCATCCTTATCTCTCAAGCAACTAATCACAAGGTTATGTATCGCGTTAATCTCGTGTAAGCACGGTTGAAGGTAGCAAATCATTCCATGTATCTTTGATCAAAGCGACAACCTATGTTCTCACTCTCATCAACAATGAAGTTTCAACTTTTCTTTTTTTCTTAACAAAAAGATCTCAATAAATGCCCCCAATGACAAGTTTAAGAAAGAACCACACATAAGCCAATAATAATTGTTTATTTAAATAGTAAATCACGCATTTATTTATCGGCTAAACTTTCAAAACAATTAGCAGTAATCTCATAAAATTTCACATGGTATCAAAATAGGAAGTCCCGAGTTCAACTAACGTTTTATTTGTTTAGGATAACATTCTTAAGGGCAAACAAAAACAAATTTAACATTCTTTGAAAAGGAGATCTTCCAATAAGATGAATAAATTATATATTAAATTACATCATAGATAATTAAGAATTCACCAGTTTCATGCAGCTAATCATGTCCAAAAAATACAAAATTTTCCTTGTTATGCATGAAGATAGAAGGCATAGAAGGCATTATGAAAGACTCCAAACAAGATAAGACATTGAAAGTTGGTAATCAAAGAAGTTGAGTTCTATCAAGTGCTCATATAAAGGAAGAAAGAAACCGAGTTCTAGATGAATTATCTTTGGAATTATTGCTCCATCATTGCACCAAATTCCTAGCTATAGGCAAACAAACTTTTTCATATTTTTTTCTAAATTAGCCGTCCCATCCATACCAACATTATTTGTACGCGTCTATATGGTGTGACAGTCGACTTTTATAATCGAATTTGACGATTAATTGACCTTTTCAATCAAACATTTGAAGAAAGCTCCATGACTGCCAATAGACATTGTTTTGATGCTCTCTCTCTCTCTCTCTCTCTCTCTCTCTCTCTCTCTCTCTCTCTCTCTCTCTCTCTCTCTCTCTCTCTCTCTCTCTCTCTCCCCTCCTCTTCTTCTTCTTTGAATCTTCTCCTCTCTTTCTTTCCTTTTTTCCTATTTGGTCAAGAACATTCGAAGAAACAACACACAGAAAGAGCCAAGGCAGGACAAGGTCTAGGGAAAAAAAACCACTTATCAAGTGAAACCCTTGTATGACCAAAAAAAAAAGAAGAAGTGAAACCCTTGACATGACACGCTTCTAATCGGTGCTTACAATAACTTCTTGGCGATCTACATTGGTTATGCGCAATGACTAATGTGATTTTCTTCGGATCATTGTGCTAAAATACCTCTAATCAAATAATAATAACAATAATGAAATTATCGAGTCGCATGAGAGCAACCGTGTTTAATAGATATTAGCCTATAAATTTGATATGATATGAAATATTCTATATATTCATAAGTGGATGATCATCAAAAGAGTGTAGTGAGCTAAGTAAAACCAAACCCTCATCTTATTCAAACAATGCCCACATATTTTCCTTTTGTTTATTTACTTTTCTATTTATTTTGGCTGTTCTTTGATTGGAGATATGTATGCAGATTCAGAAGGAAAACCAAAGAACACACTAAAGGTTTTGGTTCACGGGCCTCCAGGGCTCCACTAAACATGACAATATCTTTCAAGAGTCCTTTTCCACCAACTCGACACGCCAAGAATTTAAACAAAGAAAAAGCAACCACACCATTCTAATTCTATGTCTCTAATACAATTTACCAAAGTAATACGAGATGATAAATTTTTGGGCGTGTATGTGTATATATATCTATACGATGAAGCATACACGATATGTACGCACGTCACATTTGGGAACACTTTAGATTTTGAGGCCTTCCTATTTCGCAAATTCCAAGTAAAAAACATTGACGTTATTATTTAGCCAAAACTGTAATAACAAGATGGAGACACTCTTAACGTTTTATTTGATGCTAGGAGGCTTAGAGTCACTGCTTCGAGTTGATCTTTTGAGCTCAATGAGCTCGACAGAGATGTGTGAATGAACTGGTTTTGCATGGTACACTTGGGTGGGTGGTGGGATCATGGCAGAATTTAAAAACGAAAAGGCGAAAGAGAGATTATCAACAGAGACTTTAGTACTTTAGAGATGGCCGGATGAAATGGGAGTTTTGGGTATTACCGTCAATCATGGCATGTTGTGACAGATCATTGGGGAACTATGAACCCCAAGAAAACTAGCTAATCCTGCGTCTCATCATAATCACTCTGACATGTATCATCTCATCGTATTAAATCAACTCTCTCTTTCTTCTTTCTTTTGGTTTTTTTGTAATTTTTTTACTGTCCCCTTAGATCTTGAACTTACGTAGATTCTACCCGGTGACCATCATAACTAGCGAAAACTGCAAACAGCACTGCCTTTTTTTCCTTGACGTAGAGAGAGAGAGAGCATATGAAACGTCATGTCAAAAGCTTCACATTTTCACATTTTTTCAGACCATGAACAGTAGTTTTGCTTCAGAATCTGTCCCAGGTGAGTGCAACCAGACCTTTCACTGCCTCTCCCATACTCTCTCTCTCTCTCTCTCTCTCTCTCTCTCTCAAGCTAATCATTTGATTTGGATCTTCTGGCTGAATATAAACATGGTAAGAACCTCTTGCCAGAGCGGTAATCTTTCACTCCAAAAGTGTTGTGACCCATCCATCATGTGGCTTAGTTTAATTACCCAAACGCCTCTCTTGCTTTATGGAGAGATACCGTCTTCCCATAGTGCATCTTTTCATGATATTCATTAGGGGGCTCCTAGCAAAATTATATAACTAGCTAGATCTACTAATAAGAAAATGACTTATGTTGTAAATCTAAGCAAGTATTATGTGTGAAATTTTGTGAGACAATTGCCAACTGTTCTGAAAATTTAAACTGTTAAATGAAGGCGTATTTTAATATTTAATTACTCTAACACTCTCCCATGCTTAGTCTGGTCTTTTTGCCTAGTACTAAACGTGGACATATTTAATTAAGGAGACAAATTGAACTTGGAAAGATTTGAACTCAAGACCTTCAGCTTTGATACCATGTGAGATTTGTGGGACCACTGCTAACTGTTTTAAAAGCTTAAGCTGTTAGATAAAGGCGTGCTTTAATATTTAATTACTCTAATATTATGTATTTACGATGCTTTTTAAACATGCATTGCACGAAATTTTCATTTTTAATAAATCACATGTTGTCAGCCTGTCAAGTTATTACATATCGAAAGAAACATTGTTGATATTGTAGTGTCTTGAGACACTGGTTTGAGGTCCGGTGTGTGGTGCCCTATAAAATAAATGAGACAACAAATAAGAATGTGAACTTTTCATCTGTGTCGATAAGCTTGTTCTTGAATATGACATCCGTTTACCACAATTTAGAACACAATATTATCCACCAAACCGCAAATAAGGGACCTTATAAAAAGCGTGATTCAAACATCAAAATATTAAACTCTCTCGTTGAAGAAACGAATCACTTCTATATTGAAGTCCTGTCTATTTAACTACTTGTCAAGAATTTAGAGTTTATCACGTCACTTGCTAAATAGAATTTAGTACACTCAATTGGTATCCCAAGATGGCAAGTTAAATGAAAAGTGGCCTTGTCTCTCTCTTCCTGATCTCTCTCACTATTGCACCTAGGACCTTGAGGTTGATTCTCCTTTTACGACCAACCACAGGGGCTAATAGGAGAGGGGATCTTTTTCTAGGACAAAACAAAGGGATCAATTCGTTAATAGTTAAATCTGATTTGATATGTCGTATATTTTAGGGTTTTGGGATTGGGTAAAGCCTTGTCCATGCCATGTTAATGTGAGCCAAAAGCCTAGTCTATAAGTTCAAACATAGAAAAGATCTTTGAAACTGATCCCACGTGCTACTTTGCACAACTCTCTCTCTCTCCTCTCGTGTAGTTTTCTGGATCTTATGTAGCCGTTTGACACCGCACAACCATCATAGTATGTAAGATATAACATGATCTGTACCAAGTAATCTATCTTTAGGGTTATAGCAGACTACCATACATTGAATTACACCCATAAATCGGGAAAATTACCAAAAAAGTCCTCAACCTTTTACAATTGTGCCAATTCAGTCCTAAACCTTTTTTTTTTGTCATTTCAGTCATAAACCTTTTACAATTGTGCCAATTCAGTCCATCCGGCCACTTTTGGCCGGCCGGCGCTGACGTGGCATTATTTTAATATTTTTTTCCCTTTTTTTTTTCCTTCTTCCCCCTGACCGGTCCGGCCAGGGGGAGGATCACCGGCCATGGGCGAGGTCGACCTCGCCCGGCCATGACGAGGTCGAGCTCGCCGGCCATGGACGACGGCAAGGCCTCACCCAGATCTGGGCAAGGCCTCGCCGTCGCCGGGCGAGCTCGGCCTCGCCCATGGCCGGCGAGCTCGACCTTGCCATGGCCGGGCGAAGTCGAGCTCGCCGTCGCTGGGGGAGGTCGAGCTCGCCGGCCATGGGTGAGGTCGAGCTCGCCCGGCGACGGCGAGGTCTCGCCAGATCTGGGCAAGGCCTCGCCGTCGCCCATGGCCGGGCGAGGTCGACCTCGCCCATGGCCGGCGAGGTCACCTCGCCGGCGAGCCTCCCCCTGGCCAGACCGGACAAGGGGAAGAAGGAAAAAAAATATTAAAATAATTCCACGTTAGCCGGCCGGCGTCCACGTCAGCACCGGCCTGCCAAAAGTGGCCGGATGGACTGAATTGACACAATTGTAAAAGGTTTAGGACTGAAATGGCAAAAAAAAAAGGTTTAGGACTGAATTGGCACAATTGCAAAAGGTTTAGGACTTTTTTGGTAATTTTCCCCCCATAAATCTAACTCCTATTTCATATGAAATGACTAGTCAAAACCTTTATTGTATTGGAATGCACTATCAATTGTTCCGATGAATTGTTCAAATTTTGACATTGCCAGCACGTTTTTTTTTCCTGGCGTGAACATTCAAGTTATTCTAAACCATTTTTTGCGTTCTAGAGGCTAAGTGAGATTGATATTTTATAGACTCGACCTATTTGTAGTTGTAATAGCCTACAGAGTTTGTCCTACCATTTCATACCCCCGGCACGCGCAAAGTTGACCTTGAACGGACTCTTGCGGGAGAGAGATCAAAGGCTAACACATCTCCATTGAAGATCTACATTAAAAGGAAAGTTCTCGTTAAGCTAGAAAAAGATAAAAGAAAAGCGCCCTAAGGGTCCAAAGTCTCTTCTTTTTTTTTTTGACTGTCGGACCACAAACCGTGTCAAAACAATAGTATCATCAACTATGGATCGGCTGATCATCCTCCAACCACAACCTCACTTTGACACACCATCTTCATTTAATCACTTGGCGCTCTCGAAATTGTTGTCCTGCTCAATCTCAGAAGTAGCCACCTCCTCCTCCTCGAAGCCACACTCGTCCTCGATCCCATAAGCCGTGTGGCCACTCCCGAACGCCCGGATGTGATCCTTGAGCGACCGCTTGTGCTTGAAGTCAGAGCCGCAAGAGCAATACCAGAGCTTGCCACAGTTCTTCTCGTGGGTCCTCCAGTCGCCACGCACAGCAAACGCCTTGCCGCACTTCCGGCACATGAAGGGCTTGATCCCGTGCTTGCGCTTGTAGTGGGTCTGGAGGGTGCGGAAGTCCTTGAGCGGCTTCGACCTCGGGTGGTCGATGTTGTTCTTGCATCCCGGCGCACAGCAGTAGCATGGCAGCCTCAGCATGGCCGTCGGCTGCGTCCCCCTCAGCGACTCCGGTCCTCTCCTGTATTGGGACCCGTGTCCCCACATGTGCATCTGTAGTGAAGAATTTTTCACTTTCATGAATATATTTGGAACGTTAAGAAGATAATTAATAATAAACTAAGACTGATCTTCAAAGAGTGGGAACACCAAGTCATCTGATACATTATTGAAAATGATCCGCTTGCTTAAATGCCCGATTAGAATATGCCATGTCGTTTGGTGTGTCGATTTTGTGGATCAGTAAGTGATTGGGTTCAAGTATCTGTGAAAGTTTGACCTAGATGGTGCAAGTGGAGATCAGTTTTAGAAATGTTTCACAACAGGGTTTTGCATCTGTGGGTGCGCCAACATAAAGGTAAAGTGAGCACAAAAAGAAGTGCATGGTTTTGATTGAGTAGGAGTTCATCTGCATGTAAGGCAGGGATGTGGGGGTGATTGTGTGTGCTTCCTGCGGATTGATTCCTTTATGCAGTAATGCTTTTGGAGCCATTTTTGAGATCTCTACCTGATGATAAAAAAGCACACGCCTTTCTCTTAGTATTTTTGGTAAGGAACCTTCTCTTAGTATTAATATTCTGACTAATTACCTGAAGGGGAAATAGAGTAATTGCGTTATTTTTGCAGGGTAAAAATAAAAGTTACATAGACACACAAGTTAAAGGGTTACTTTCGTTTGATTCCCTTTCTCATGATAAGCAGAAGACTCTCTTCCAGGTGGCTTGTCATCAACAAATCGAGATGTTCTGATTCAGTTTTATGAGTAGGCATTTCAGCTTTCACTCAACTCACCTGAAGTTGTGTATTTGCTCTTCAGGTTGAGTCCAGGCAGATTGAGAGAGAGATATGGTTGATTGAGGCACTAGATTTTGGTGAAAAGAAAGTGGGTCATCATCAAGTGCTCGGGATGAGTTTGAGGTATATAGTTTCAGTGTTTACACGCATGCCAATGAGGAGGCTGTAGGACACAAACCTCAAGGTGCAAAAAGCATTATCATTGTCTAGTTCAATCACATAAAGGTCGAGGCAACTGATCATGTTGCAGTTGGGCCAGGTCTACAGACAGATTTACTATATATTCTCAGTTTTTTCTTTTGAATAAACTATGCGCAGCCCATAAATCATGCAAAAGGGAAGAGATCTAAATTTTTGCAGTTTGCAACTCAAAAAACACAAAAGAAAAGGAGAAGGAGCTATGCAATAAGTTGAAGGGTGAAAAAGAAAGAGGAAAACCCTAAGGACCCATATGACTCCTCTCTTCTCAAAAGAAATCCAGCCAAAACAAGAAAAAGAAGTGTAAAAGATAAGGGTGGATTCCACTTTTTTTGTCCAAACAAAAAAAAAACGAGGGGAAAAAGAAAGCAAACAAAGGTTTTGTTGACAGCATACAGAATCAAACGACCATTTTCAAAACGAAAAAGCCAAACTTTCAGCAACGCCTGGGTTTTTTTTTTTTTCTCATGACCCGTATTCAAGAAAACTCAACTCAACTCCCAGACTCACCTGCATGTTGTTGTATCTGTTGAAGGTCTTGAAGCAAAGAGGGCATGAGAACTGTGTAGGGCCAATAAGTATCTGAGCAGGGGTGGGTATCCAGTACTGGCCCTTGTTGAGCTTGTTGTTGCTTGTGAAGTACCCAGAAGAAGCCACAGTGGTCTCTTGATCCAATTCCTTGTCTGAGTTGATCTCTGTTGAGGAGAGCCTTGAGATCAAATCAGCAGAGCTAGGGCTTGGAAGCCCCAAGTGGAGAGCCACCGTCACAGCTTCACCATCCCCATCATCATCTTCATCGGCAACATCTGCTGAATTATGGGGAAAGGAGTTGTCCTTTTGACTGCTGGGGTTGTCAACCTCCATAGGAGAAGAAAGTGAGGCTTGCTCTTCTTCTTCATGCCTCCCGGGGCTTAAGCAGCTGAGGAGAGGGAGTGCTTCTCTCAGGGGCGGAGATGGAGGAGGAGAAGAGTGAGGTAAAGAGGCGGCGTTGTAGACGTGATTGTAGTCATAGAGAGAGTAGAAGCAGTGAGAAGAATTGTAGTAATTGTTCGCGGATTTGGAAGAGAAAGAAGATGACGACGAAGGAGGAGAAGAGAAGTGGTGAAGAGGGTTGAAGCTGATCCATCCATTCAAGTAACTTGAGTAGGGGTCCGTCATGATGGAAAGCGAATAGTTGGGTGTTGTAGAAGACAAGTTATGAGAGAGAGAGAGAGAGAGAGAGAGAGAGAGAGAGGTGGTTTATGAGAGAAGTGGAGAAGGTAAATATAAAAGGAAGAGAGTGATGGGGGGTTAAAAGGAGAAATATGGAAGAAAGGGAGGGGGGGATAAAGCAAAGTTACTCGAGGAAGAAAAGGCAGACAAGATATCACTTGTGAGGTGTGACTAAACAATGGAGAAATTATGCTAAAGACAACCATGAGGGAAGTGGGTTTCTCTTTCTTCCTGTCTTTTTTTTTCACTTCTCTTTCTACATGGTGATTGTTGGGTATTTGAAGAGAGAGAGAGAATCTTAGGACTTGACTTGAGAGAAGAAGCAACTATATTGAGCAGCAGAGTGGTGAAAAGATAGCGAAAAAATGTAAGTAGGACTAGATTGAGCAGTTAAACCAAAACAGTCATGTGAAGGAAGAAAATCCAAAGAAGAGAACAATAAATGTAGTCAGGCTTTGAGGGGGCTATCCTGCCTTCACCATCCAAACATGCACTGGTTTACAATATAAGGTTTACTCCCAAAAGAGGATTCTGTGCTTATCAATTATGTTACAAGCTAGGGGATTATCCAATACGGTAACAGAACAAAATTAAAAAAATTAACTCGATTCGTAATACCCCTCTATCATTTTCCTACATAAAGAGAAAGGCAAATAAAAAGGGATATCGTTTAATGAAAAAACGTTTTCATTCCCGATACTTAAATTACATGCAACGCGAAAGAAAGCGGTGTTACCAAAATACAAAAATTTCTTTATTCGGATATTTAACAAGTGCCCCCAAAGGGGGTGTTCAAAAAGCGTCAAACGAAAAATCCAACAAAATTTTCTTAAAAAAATACACGGGTATATCCAAACTTCACCTGTATTTGGTTTTGCGCATGAGGAAAAGTGTTAAACCGAAATGTGTCGCACATGCATTGTGCGCATCTCTCCCTAGACAAATTGAATTTTTTGGGGCAAAAAAGGGTCAAAGGAAAACACAGAATATTTTGTCGAAAAGTCCAATGGTAAATGATATATGTAAAGTGTCGAATTGGTCAATTCACATAATGTTACTATGATAGGTTCGAAAACATATCCTTGATTATCTAGAAATGATAATTTGACCATTACGGTGGAAAATGAAGTATCACCTTTAGGTACAAATCAATTAGTACTAAACGAAAAATTCTTGCATTCTTCTTTCGGGTAAGTCTATCATTCGTAGGTTAATTGCTTAATCGTTTGTATAATATTTTTTTATCTTTTGTTTGAGAAGTAAATAATTCTCTTACAGGATTTTATGATCCAAAAAATTTGTATGTTTGAGCATAAAATGAGAAAGTACCTAGCCTTTTGTGCGGACATGCGCTCTCTCTTCGTCAAATGACTCCCCATTGCAATTGTAAACATTTTACCAAAACTTTATGATAGAAGTAAAGACAAGATCGCCATATATTAAGATGAGTAGTATTCCGTAATGATTTCATTAACAAGGGCTCCGAGGTCGCTTATTAAACAACCGTTTGAAGAAAATTTACGGTGTTGAGCACGGTATTTTTCTCTCGTGCTTTGATCGACGCACTGAAAATAATAAACTCCCTTATTAAACATGTTTAACTATTAATCACGGTTCCGGGGGACACTTGTTGTTGTTACCCATTTTGTGACAATTTTGAAAAGTCTTGCTGACATTTAAAAGTAAAGTGAGCATTAATTTGAAAAGTCTTTGATTTGACCATCATTAATCTTTATCAAAAGATGCAACACTAATAACTCAGAGCCACCACCAACTCTTGAACACTTCATTTAAAGGGAAAACCGCAGTTAACTAAGGTAGAAGTAGAAGCCCAGAGAGAGAGAGAGAGAGAGAGAGAGAGAGAGTAAAAAGAAGCCATGGCCACCCCAATGCAGACCCTTAATTAATGTTGATCTCCTGGTTTTCGGGTGATGACAAGACTAAATTATGCAGAAGAGGAGCTGGTTTGATTTACAATGGGGCAGCCACTGTTGAAGTTTTTCCAAGCCTCGGGAAACCAATATAGTATTCATCTTTTCCGCCCAGCATTCGCTTCGGGAGGTGGTCTCGCCCTTGTCGGTTGGCTTGGCAATCGGCGTGCATGGTCGAGAGAGTGCTTAACATGTACTCTTCCATGCAGCCAAAGAGAAAAGCCTCAAACACTCTTCAACATCTTCCATATGCACCACAAGCACCATTGTCCAAAACCTCTCTGTCTCTCTCTCTCTGTCTCTCTGTCTCTCTCTCTCTCTCTCTCTCTCTCTCTCTCTAAACATGAACGAACGATGAATCTTCCTCAAAAGGGTCTACCCAAGATCGAAAAGCCATGTTACTTCCGAAGTCAAATCACCGCAGTCAAAAAGGAAATCACAGTCACGCGACAAAACATGTCTCGTTCGGGCGAAGAGGAAGGCTTGGTAAGCGAGGTCGGTGATGGTAATATCTATAATAACTTCGACAGGAGAGGCGAACGTAAATGAATAAAAAATGTGGAATGAGGATAGGAGGAAGACAGAGAATGCTTCTGCGTAGAGATCTCGATGAAGTCTTGGGATCGGTGGGGTTGTTAAGGCCATCCGTTTGGAGTTATGTGAAAACATGCAGATTCAATTAACACAACTTGGGTACAAAGAGACAATGAATGCAGATATCCTGTTGGCTGAGTTGATCAAGATAAAAAATATAAATAAATTGATTCCAGCAAGAAAAAATAATATATGTGTGTGATTATCTATATTGAATCATATAGCAAACTTTTGAATTTGGCACACAGCCTCGTATTTACGAAGATTTCCTTCATTTTCCTATTATGTATCAAAGATGAAGGGGTGGTTTAATACTTGAATGTTCTAATACTCCTCCTCACATGTAGATTCGACTTTAGCCTAAGCTTAAAGTGTGGAAGTATGTAATTAGGGAGGCAAATAAGGGCTTGGAAAGATTTAAACTCGGGATATTCTGCTCTGATTCCGTGTTGGAAAGTCAAACTCAAAAACTTAAACTGATAAATAAATATTGAAGCACTGTTCCGCATTGCTTGACAATGGGTCCTAAATGCTCTTTATATTCGTCCGGTCTCCCTCCACTTATCAAGTTAAGCTTTTGAATTGCACTTTTCAATATGGTATTAAAGCCAGTGCTATCCCTTTCCAAATGTGTGTCCACCCCTCATTAGTAAAAATTCTAGGCGGGGTATTGAAATGTTGTCCAGCTTAACTTAACAACGGGTTTGAAATGCTCTTTATATTCACATGGTCTCTCTCCACTTATCAATTTAAACTTTTGGGTTTGACTTTCTAATATGTTGAAATTTATTATTGTATTCAAACACTTATCACCCGCCCAAAAGATCACAACAGTTATACAAATGCCTATCGCTTATTTACTAATTCAAAATATACTAACCACCAGCAATTCTTGGCTTCGGTTATTTGCTATTGGCTCTATTCATTCACTAATTCACAAGATGATAATTGCGCACGATTTCGATTAAGTGCTGCCGACATCTTACCTTATGATGTATTTTCGTAAAATTCCAATATTCAATTTACCACGGTGAAGGGTCTTCATGATTCTCCCATTGCTCAATTTGACTGTTCACACTCACATAAATATTTTTTTTCAGACATCGGTATTGGTCGAAAAGTTAAATATTTCAATAATAATAAAAAAAGGAGCATGAAAGCAATCATGCATAGACATGAAGCGTGTTCGAGAGCTTAGTTGTTATTAAGAAAAGAAAGGTCACAAGTACCAAGTGGGCATTGATCCTATGAGGCTCCACAAGATGTTTGCTCTACTTAAATTTCAAATGTTTCATCTTTAATGAAGTTAAATCAAGAGAAAATTATCCACAAACACCCCCCCCCCCCCCCCCTGCATTGTGGAGATTTGCAAGCGGTCCTCTGAATTTCGATATTGATGAAATCAGTCCCTGAACTTCTATGGATTAGCAAAAGTTTCCTGTCCCACATATCTCTGCAAATTTGGGTTTCCATGCACATCAAACCTAACTCTACTTCTTGACCAAAAAAAAAAAAAAAAACCTAACTCTACTTGTGGGGCATGCCTACATATATATAAAATGAATATATATACATGTGTATAGAACAAACAACAGTACATAAAAATCCAAATGTTGCTGTACTCCCATTTTTCTAAGAAAAAAGAAAAAGGAGAGAAGAGAAGGAAAAAATGAACTCAGGTCTCCTGTGTGTCCCCCTGCAAAGGGACAAGACATGGGTGTGGTAGGACACATATAAGACCCCGAGAACAGATTTTAGACTTTGAGAACCATGTCTAAATTTGACTGTTGTTGGTCTTAAGAAAACAGAAAAAGATAAAAACGAAAAAATCAAGGACAAGAAAAAATGTGAAATTTTTTTTGAAGTCAACAAGAGAGCTCGTGTGCAGTGTGAAGTTCCATGAACGTCTACTGTCCGTGCTGTGTTGCAAGAATTCAAAACATCTGCCTCTTTCTGCTAAAAAAAACGAATAGGGAAAAGAAGAGGACAAAAAAGAAAAATTAAACACCACACCGATCTCCACCAAATTCGTTTTGTATATCTCTTCTTCGCAGTCTTTTTGCTGTTTGGATTCTTGTGTTCAGACGAAGGCTTTGCGGGCAAGGCTATTGAGATTGATTGCGAGTAGAAACTTTTATGAGCTTCTTGGGTTGCGATTAAGGATGAGGAAGTAACTTTCTTTGTTGTTGTTTTCTGGCCGCAATTATAAGTATGGTTTTTTATGTGAAAAAATCATGAAAATGTTTTATACGAGGTTTCGAGTCTTTCGAGCGAAAACGCGGAAACGCAATAAAATAATCACATAATCCTGTACGAGAAATCCAACTAGCATAATATACATGTGCTTCTTTTTTTAAACACCACTAGTTACCATCTTTATACAGTATTCAAACAAAATACGAGCACCGCTATGCTCATACTAACCCAATAGCAAGCCTATACATCAACTAAACCACCATCCCAATTAGGGTTTAATGGCCTCCGGCATCATCTTGTCCCTTCCATCGTCATGTCCAGGGGGACCACTGAAGCCTCTCAAAGGTCCAAGTGTCTCGCCATTTACATCAGCATACCATGCAATGAAATGGTAGGGAGAAACTCAGGTAACCCCACATCTACCTAGACAGTGGAACTACACTACTTATATATCTCGGATCTCGGTGCAAGTATGTTCTGATAGTCCCATTCTATATATATGGGTACTCCAAAACATACCACGGGAGGAGGATCCATCCCACGAATTTGAAAAATTAATGGATGAGCCAAAACCTAGTAAAAGAAATCTCTACGTCCAAGGTAGGAGATCATATTACCACTCAATTTGGTACCAACAAATAACGTGAGTTCAAGACAAGTACAAAATAACTATATAAAACAATTGAATGAATAAATGCACTATTCTTTCATATCATGACATGACAATGGAAATCATTGACAACATTACAGAATATTATTCACTTAAATGCAAGTGGATGGCATAATAAATTGTGTTGCATGATTATCACAAATTAGTTCATTAATAGACATGTGAAAAACACATATTCGTTATCAACATATCATTTCATCCTGACTCACGGGGCATCTCGCCTCCCAAGGTATCTCGAACACTCTCAGGACATCCCGACACACGGGGCATCTCCATTGCGAGGCATCTCGACTCATGGGCCATACCAACTCCAAGGCATCCCAACTCTAAGGCATCGTCGCCACTAAGATTATAATCACTTAATCACCTCTGCATCAATAACGAAATCAGCATTCATTTCAAGAATCATTATCCGGTACACAACATCTTTTCATGTAAATCACTTCTAAAATACATTTACCTTGCCCTTTCAATGATATGATAAGTAAAAGAAATGACATGTTTACCTCCTTTCATATCTCATACGAGCAATATAACCTATTCAGAAAATCGGCAAATGGGTAATATTGACCATGGGGTATAATCAGCAAGTAGGCATAATCGACAAGTGGGTAGAATCAACAGGTAGGTATAATCAACAAGTGGATATAATTGACAAGTAGGTATAATCCACAAGTGAGTATAATCGGCAAGTGGGTATAACTGAAAAGTGGATATAATCAATAAATGGGTATAATTGACAAGCAAGTACAATCAACACATGGTCAATATCGCTTTCAGGTCTAGTTTCGTCATTTTCACATTTTTCACATCCAACATGCTGCCACACCTCACGGAAATAAATTAAACACATCTTAGACATGTAAGAACTCATCGATGCAAGTCAGGTCATCACAAAATCTCAACACGCCATTATTGAGGCTTGCTCACACTTACCATCAAATTCAAACTAAATTAACAAATATCAACCAACTTAGTCAAGAGTACTAAGTAGATCAATCTAACTTAACCTCTAGCGTACTTACCTGGAATAAAAGGCTTGAGCAAAATAAAAGCTTTAATCACCTTCAAAACAGAATAATCAAGAACAAAGATTAACAACTCTCAACCTTTTAACAAAACTAGTTTAATAAAAGAGAAAATAAAGCCTACAAGTTCACATTGTAAACTCTTGAAAGATAGAATTTTTAAGTTTTGACAACATAAAAATGAAATCTTTACTTTTACTCGAAAAATTGGAAAGTGAAGATAGAAGAGGTAAATGACGAAAGATCTCTTTTTCTTCGCAAGAACAAGTTGAAGTTCCTTTAAAGCTTGAAGGCATAAGAAGATCTATTTATTTGGCCAAAGGGAACTAAATTTAGAAGGCTACTCAAGAGTTACTAAAAGATAAGATCAAATAACCAAGGTTAAAAATACTAGGTGTAAAAGAGAGTGATAAGTGGTCTAACCCAAAAGCTACAAGTGGCTTAATGTGAGAAGCCAAAAGGAGATATTTGATGCATGAATGTGGACTCAAACCTATTAAGAGCACTAATGAGTAAAAGAGGTGTTCAGATAGAAAAGTTACAAGTGGCATAATTATATGGCTCCATCAAATGATATGGCCAAGAGGATGAACTTAGAAGGCCAAGAGTCATCAAGAAATAAGAATGAATAACTAAGGTTAAAAGTAATAAACATTTGGTTGAAATTGTGTGAGAAGTGTTCAGATTGGAAAGTGACCTCAACTATATGATTTTCAAAGTAGATATTTTGTTAAGTTACCAAAATATATAGCAAATTAGTACGTAAACAAGGAAATCAGTGTCCGTTCTAAGCGATGATAAATTAGAAAAAAATATTTTGAACTAATTAAAACGTTCCGCGATAATTACTAAACACTAGGAGAATCATAACTTAATAAATTTCGACCTACCACTTATCCGATACGTAATCTCGGAGCGTATCAATCTCATTAACAACCAATGTGGCGATACAAGTTTTTTCGTCATTCTAAATAATCGACCAAAGAGAAAATATTCATTAATTTAACCCTAATATAATCATTTTTTTCAAAAACTACGGACACAAAAAATATAAGTCGAATCTCCTTACCCAAAAAAAAAATATAAGTCGAACCTTCCTCTACTACAACATTAACAATTCAACTGAAATTTCCACCAGTGACATTTATGGTCTTTAAATTCCTACATATTATTAATTGATGTAGAAATTTTTGGATGTCACATTGAGGGCCGGTGATCCAAACAAAAAAAAAAGAGTTAAGAAAAAATAGAAAAAAGAAAAAACCAACAAAAATATTTTAAGAAATATCCACCTCAGCACCGGCAGTACCACATAGGATAGCCAATATCCATGCCAACAATTTTAGCTAACGTTAGCCAGATGAACTCAATTGGAAAAATGTCAAAAAGGTCGACTAAATTACCATAATGGAAAGGTTTATAATTGAATTGTCACGAGCGCAATAGATTTTGAACTTTTTTGGTAATTTTCCTCAAAAACAAATGATGGAAGGCAAGTGCTGTCAAGACGTGTGAATGGCAAAAGTATCTGCAATGCTCCCGTAGAAAGTGTGTCGATATAACTTCTTTTGATTGGGTGCACTTAAGATCCGTGAAAGTGTTCTATATAATTTCAAAGACGCGTTGAAAGTTGATTCAGTTTTTCTACTTCTTTTACTTTGAATGAAACACAATTGTGCTTCTTTTAACTGATATTGCCTTTGTCTGACAAAAAAAAACTGATATTGTCTTTTGCAACGTGCTTTTCAATTGTTTATATGTACAATCTAGACATTTAATTCGCCCAATTTTATATCGTGGTTCTTTTTTCATATGCATGTTGTTCCGTCATATAGGTGAAACTGTAGCGACACTGCTTATGTGGCAATGACAATTGTCCTATGATACCGATAACATTACATTACCTGAATGAGAGGGTAAGCACAATGCCATTGCCGTTACCGCCACATTCTTTCGAGTTGCGGTTAGGTTTTCCCATTACCCTAATTTCCCTATCATGCACACGTGACGATACTAACTATGATCGCATGTGTACTACGATAGGTCTATAAATAGTCGGCAGTTATTAGAGTTGAAAAGAGAATGAGTAGGATCTAGTTTAAGCCGGTGAGATTTGAAATTTTAGAGATTTTTTTTTACGAGTGATCAACTGGACAGAAATGTCCATTGCTATCGAAATTTTAGAGACTTCCTTTATAAGTGATCAACTAGACAGAAACGTCCATTGTTGTCAGTAAGACCAAGCTTACAGATACGACAGACAGAGGCGATGCGTACATAAAGGCTCAAAGGCACGTTAAAAGGGTTGGTCTAGACGGTTCTCGCCATCCACGGAATCATCGACGAGGCCCAAACCTTCGCGTCGACCGAATAATTGGTGAAGCAAGAAGTGACTATAGTAAAGGTACATTGGTCTGTCGTCTCGTATAAGGCTTGACCCCCACAAGATTCACAACGGAGGAAAGCGAATGGTGGGACAAGCAGAACCCAAGTACTTACGTACCAATCTGTCAGGGAGCTTAGATAGACAGAGAGGTTCGTAGGTCAAAAAGGTCGTGCGTCAGTCTATCATATGCTCCCAAACATAGAAAAAACAAAGATTACGAAAAATTTATACAAGATGCCATGTCAATGCCGTGACGAGACACGTGGAGGACAATTTGTCGGTTCGATACGGCAGTGCAGTGACCGCTCAAATACATACCACGCACTGTTCACATAAATGCACGCTCTCTAATATTGGACGGGCACGAACATGCACACACGCCTGACGAACACCCATCTAATGGCCGGATGATGATCCTGGGGAAAGCTAATGGACAGTCAAAAGTTCGTGTCGCTTGTCGTCCTATGTAAAGGACTTCTGTTTTCATCCCCCTCAATATTTTCTAACGATTTGATGATCGTACAGCAAACTTCCGCTGCAAAATCACGGCGCTTTGAAGGTGAAACCTTCATCGGTTCTCGCTTCCATGTATTCCTCCTCCAAAATTCGTGAGGAGACAATGACATTGATGATGTGAGCTTGCAAAGGTGAAGATTTACGAGTGTTTTGATTCAATCAAGGCGAACAGGTCGATTAGCTTCATCCCGAAAATAATGAAAATCAACGGCATTTACAAAGAGACGAAAATGTTCGTTGATGACCAAAACTCTATTAGGCCCACATCTTCCTTCTCTCCTCCTCCAAACAGGATAAGGATGTAGGCGAACTTGAATTGAACACAGGCTTCAAACATCCAAGTCGGGCATCGCAGAGAGAACGCAAGAGAGAGAGGGGATAAAGACTTAGTTTCGATGACCAACCCCAAAATGAAACCTGCCAGCCTTCCTATCATTAAATGCGTACTCAAGACGCAGTGGCCCCAGAGGTGAATCCACACGGATGCCAAACCCGTATCCATAACCACTTCCGGGCTTCAACCTTGCACCGGCCGGATCACCTAAATAACAAGGCGACTTAGGATTAGTTCTGCCAAAGCTGACCGACATATAAACAACTTAAGGAATTTTGAGCAAAACATTATGTATTTTTATTTTATGGGGAGCTAGGAATAGGAACTTTGTGATGATTTTCACTGGAATTTCATGGAGATCCCGTGATTTAACAAGCATAAATTATTTGTAAATTTTTCAATCAAAGCTCTAGTAGGTAGGGATGTCACATCTTTTTTCGCCACTCGTGTTATATGTGCACGCGCATGTAGGAATGCAACGAGAGAGAGAGGAGAGAGAGTACCAGGGACAGTTGGGCCTGATCCTAGATCACTCCCATAGTCTGCAAAGAGAGCTCCATCAACGGGCCCCAACTGAAGAACAAGAAGACAGAAAACTGATGGTTAGCATACTGATGGCTTCACATCCAGGGCATTAAATAAGTGGGGACAAAATGCGCATGTCCATAGTGCATGCACCAGAGAGAGAGAGGCATTATGCTCTTCTAAACAATATTGCAATCATCAAAGACAGAATATAGCTATTAAACAAAAATTCAGATTCCAGTTATTGTACTTCAAAAGAGAACTTCAGTCCCAAAATAAACCATCGGTCATGGTGAATTATATGCAGGGACATCCCAACAGAACCAAAGTAGTATGCTCTAGTTTATGATTGTATGATAACATCTAGGCGCCTAAACTCATGATTCGAGGTGAAAAGAAACCACCTCAACAGGAACCACAAACGGCTGAACGGAAAGTTAAAGAAAATAGTTGAGTGGGCATGGCAACCCAGATTGAGGCTCAACGAAAGAGGAAACCATTAGCCAAAGAGCAAAATTGCACAATGACAAAAGTCACCCACCATATGGAATGAAACTTCTCCAGAGCCAACAACATAAGATCGGCCAGAGCCAACAGCACCTTCTTCATAGCCTCTGACACTATTTGTTCCACCAATGGCAAACGCTTCATGAGGAGAAAAATTACCAACCACATGCCCACCAGACAAACTACAAATGGAACAAACAATCGATGAGGAAACAATTTTCATCAAATCATAGAAAAAGTACAAAAGATGCTGACAAACAGCAATTTCACACAGTTAAATACCCTCCCAAGTTCAAGGCTTCTTTTACTGTCAAGCCATTTGAAAGTTCCTCAATCGTCTGCATTTTAGTACACAGGGCTATCTAGAGTCTCTTAAAAGATAACCATAAATTGGCATATGATACCTTACAACAAAATGGGCAGGACCAATTTCGATGCCTTTACGAGCACGGGCATTCACTCTGTTAAAGAACAGCCACTCTGGCAAAACAGGAATTCCTTGTTCCATGTTGAATGCAAACTGTTAACATGAAAGGGTTAGAACCCACAAAACAGCCAAAACAGTACATTGAAGAGATGAAATTTGTCTACCATTGAAGACCCACGATCACCAGAACCAGTGTAGACCATCTCAAGTTTGGCCAGTAGACTATCATCATGAGTATTCCCACTGGACAAAGGAAAGGAAGGGAATGTAGAGCGAAAAAAAAAAATTCACCCAAAACGAACAAAATATCCAATCCATAATGTAGAGATACCTTGCAGTAAGAGGGCTACTGAAGAAATCCTTAATAACAGGGTTTCCTTTGTCATCACGAGCACCCGCATGCTGAAAATTTACCCAAAAAGGTAACACACAAGATAAATTTAAAGCAGAAGATAGGGAAGACTGAGGCACAAGACTTCCATAATTTGGCTACAGTACGCATCAGCATAGAAATAGAAGAAAGTTTGGCAGCGTACCAGGAAAATTAGTCCTGCTGTACCGCTCCACTTCGGCCTAATTGGACGACTGAATTCAACACCAGCTGTGACCCGTCCAATTGTTAGGCTACCGCTGTTAGGTTGGTCGTGGACATGTGAACCTGGAGTCCTTGAATTCTGTTGAAATATGTTGCGTTAGGAATCAAGCTCTGACACCACATTAAGATTTCATGATTGCAACAGGGGAAGAGAGATCACAAACCAATACATCTTCACTCAGTTGACTTAATGCAAGGATGAATAATAAGCTCCTTTTATAAAATAAAGCATACGGAGAAAAGCTAACTTACAAGTACCTGAACTCATCTAGTTAACATTAATATCTTAATATACTAAATATTCTTCAAAAACCTCTAGACCAAAAAGCATCTATATAAGTGATAAATCAACCATAGCATAGGCAAGATTTAAAGAGAATTGTATACCATACCTGAACCATGATTGTTCTAGATGTCCGTTTGTCATCTCCTTCAATCCATGGATCCGTGTAGTTTATACGGAATATTGAATCAATTTGTCCCCTCTCTAAGGATATGTTGAGTTTCTGGTTTCTCCCAAAAACATTCCTATGAGAATATGCAAAACTGCAACAGAAGTATGAGCAGGCATGAATTAAAATCATGACCATGCAAAATCTGAAATCATGCAACAGTAAAAGCTTGTTCCTTCATGTACATGTCAGATGATCCTCTATCTTTTCTTCAGAAAAGACCAGGAGATGCATTACGAGTTTGATGAGCATGGTGTTGGTTTGACTTGGGCTAAGGAATACAGATCTCTATGGACTGAAGCAGTTCGCCTTTCAATTGTCAACCTCTGGCTACACCCCAGCTTCATCCAACTTTAAGTACATTTTAATTTACCGAATTGCTTATACGGCATATCCCGAAAGACGTAAAAGCATAAACCACCTACTTTTAGAAGTTTTCATTGCCAAGAGGCATAAGGCAGTACCAAGCCCATGTGATTAAAATCATTCCATCAAGAGCATGCAACCATCAAGTAAATTAAGTAATGATGCATAGGGCAGTCCTCATTTTTACCTTCCAATTAACCCTGACAAGGGTCCACTTGTAATCCTACAATGTAAAATACCATGACGTCAAAAGTTGTATTATAAATGTGTCAAAAATCAATCAAACTAATAAATAAGTAAAAAATATCAATGCATAGGAAATTCCTAGCATAATCTTCATGCAGGCATATGTGTCCTACCCACTTGATATGCCACCACCCGCTGAAAAGCCTCCACTTTTACGCTCAACAACATTCATCACAAGATCAACCTTACCGGTATCTATAAGATAAGAAAATTGTAAGCTTCATCATGTCAATAATTAAAAAAATACACAAAAGCCCAAATACACAGATTAAGAAGAATTTAATTTCTTAATATTTATCAAATATTATAAGAAAATAATGTCAAATAAAAGTATAAGTCAACCAAAAGTAGTACAACAGTATATAACAGGAACTCCTCATTATCCACATGCTTCTAGAGTTAGAACTCCTTAATTCCCGATTCATCCAACAGCTCTATTTCACAAAACGGGATTCTTCACTCAACAACGCATCAGTAGAATAAGATCATCAATCAAAATTATCAGCAACAACCACCAATTTTGCTTTTAAAGTTCAAGCCTGATTCGTGGAAATTACATATTGCATATGTGAACAGTTCATATAAAAGAACTAAGAATTGTATCAGATAGCCGTAAAGGAAGGATGCAGTCTATTAATAACAAAATTTTGGAGCTCATATGGGTGTAGTCATCATTTACCACAATTTACTACTTACCCCAAAAAAATGCCACAATTTGCTGACCAAAAAGAAAATTTACCACCATTTATGCAGCCAGACTTCCCAGTCATACTGAGCGACAGTTTCTAACCATGGTATTCCAAAGAAAAAAACAGAAAAGATGAAATCTACTGCCTATTATAGTTGATCAATTACAGACTATCCAGCTAACATTAGTAACGGCTCACCATGCTAGTATAGTTGGGGAAGGGGGTTTCAATTGCCCGTCTTAAGAAATATGACAAAGATGCAGGGGAAAGAAGTTCATAAAAAAATTAATAAATGCAAAATATTCATTTTACCTCCCACAGGCTGTGGAATAATGCTAACATCTTCCATGATTCCCATAGTTAAAACAGTCTCTACATCTCTCTTCCCTTGGAGCATGCTGTAAACCTGCAAGCATGTTAGTCCCATTTAAAGCTTCTGTGCAAGATCTGCACCTGATATACCAGCCACTATGCCCCCAACCCCACAAAAACAAAAAATTAAGCTTTGACAAAGCTGAAAGAACCCCAGTCTTCTTCAATTTCATTCTCCTCCATCCTCCTTTCTCTCTCTATATTTTTTTTGGGTATAGGACAGAGAAAGTTAAGATCCATCATACCTGTCCCTTCTTGGTTGTGAGTTGTCTAAGTATTGTTTCTGGCTTTGTCTTCCCTGTAGTTGGCTCGCCGCTGAAAATTAAACAAAATGAATGTCTTATCGATTGCTGATAGCCAATTCTACAAAGTACATGCATGCATTTCAACAAAGCCAATAGCAGAGTCTTACGTCTTCCTGTCGAGGAAACGTACTGAGATATTGTTAACCTCAGCTTCTGAAATATGCATCTTTAAATTTCCTCCAGAAAGAATCTCCACATCAGATACCTAAATTAACAATAGGTAGAAACAGACTATTACTCATAGGAAGAAATTAACTGAGAAATTATTTAGAATCCCTGCACAATATAGGGTAAAATACACAATTAACAATGTAACGTGCAAGCGTGACAGCATACCAAGCCAAAGAGACCACGCTCCATGTACCAACCATTGATGGAATTTATCACTTCATCCAATCTCCTGATGTTAACCACTTTTCCTGCACCACTTGACACAAAAATCAAAACAATGTAGACATCATTCGAGTGCAGCTCCATCCAGCAAAATGAAAATAAAGAAAGGGAGACACTATTGTACTCCATCAAACACAGTGTCCTAAGTATAATTGTAGGGAAGATATAATAGAAAACCTACCATATCCATCCCGGAAAGCATCCTCTAAAAATTTTGATGGGAGAACGTTAGCCCCCTCACATACCAACCCGTGGAACTCCTGGTTTTGTTCTACCTTGTGACACAAGACAGAGGTAACAAGGATCACAGCATCAGAAAAGCAAGATACAAGTTCTAGAACGAGCTTTTGTGGTTATTGACACTTTAAATACTGATGAAAGGAACCCAAACTATCCCAACTCTATCTTGTTAGCCACCGAGTGTAACATTTAGCAGGAAGATAGGATTTTGAAACCTAGCCATACTGCTTCATCGTTTCCCAGTCAAGTCACCAGCATCTCATTGCAATATTCCAATTCTATACAGCAACATTCAAGCATAATTCAAAAAGAAAGAACACATTTTTGTCCAAAACATCCGGCATGGACATCAAATTAATTACGACCACCAGCAGATACCCGAACAACAAACTACAAAGAGACAAAGTATCACCTGAAACACCAATCTGATACCGTCCCGAGTGTCAACGGCCACCGGCATGCAAGAGCAAAAGTATCCGCTATCTATGATCCTGTGGACATCCTCCTGAACTTCGCGCACGGTGAGGGCCGAGTTGGGCCTGCAAGCTTTGAGCGCCTGCAACGCCTCCATTTCCAGGTCCTTCCTCTCGAGCTCCTCGCCATCCTTGTTCCTCACCAAAACCTCGCTTATCAACATCCTCTCCTCGTCGTGCCGACTCACCGACTGCCCCTTCCGAGCTTCGAACTCCGACTGAGCCGACTCGACCGGCGGAACCGCCGAGCCGTCCTTGTATCCCGGATCGGGCTGGGCCGCACCGTCCGGCTGGCTCAGCGACAGGGAAGCGGAACACAGCGGAGGCGATCTCCTCGGCCGAGCCAGCGACAGCGACAGCGAGCTCAGGAGCGGCGGCATCGGGCCGAGCCGATGCTCCCGCTCGCGGTGTTCGAAGGACCCGATGAATCGAGAGAGCAGGTGAGCTGCTCTAGCGAGTGGTGACGTCGGGTCATGGGAGGTACAAGGGAGATCCGACAGCGACGGAGGCGGCGACAGGCGGCGGATTTTGATGGACGACGAGGTGACGCGGACGCCGTCGTTGCGAGGCATGTCTCCGCGCCGGCGACAGATGACGGTGGACCCGAAAATGGCGGTGAGACGGAAACCTCCGTCGATTCTAGGGTTTTAGGAACGGCGGAGAAGATGAAGAAGGCGAAGCTAATGCCGTCGCTGAAGCCGAACTGGGACTGGCGAGTGGAGTGACGGACTCGGACTCGGGCTCGGGCTCGGGCTCGGGCTCGGGGCTGCCAATTCGATACCGGGGATGAAACGGGTCGGATATTCATTCGGGTGGTGTTCGGAGAGCCCGGCCTATTGGACCGATTTCTGAGGCAGAGCCCAGGAGTTGTGATCTAACGGTGACAGTGTAGCTTTGTTGATGGGCCTAGACAGAGATTTGCCAGGGCCCATGGCAATGTTAGTTGGCCTGCTCAAGGCACACCGAATCAAAAAACAAATGGTTTGATAGTTGCACTTGTGCTTCGAGCGCGCATGATAAACATTTTGTTTTTCTATTTTTCTATTCTCAAAAACAGGTTTGGAATAAAAATTCGTTTGGTAACGCAATTTCATTTTTCTATTTTCGGGATAAATTTTTATACTAGAAATAGGTTTGAAGCATAAATAAAAATAAAAACTCTACTCCCACTCACATTCCAACCCCCTCCCCCTCCTCCACCTCCCTTGACCTCCTTGAGCGCCACCTCGCCGTGAAGATCTTCTGGCAGGTCGACGAGGAGACCCGCTCCCTTCTCATCGCCTTGGCCGACGACGTTGCCATCAAGTGCAACTACATCTATTTCTCCGAGGTCCAATTCATCATTGTAGTCAACCTCAAGACGATCGACAACCTATGGGATCGCCACAACAGTGACTAATTTGGATACAACATCCATGAAAAGGCTGTGGGACAAGGCCAAGAGGGACTTCACAAGGTTCTTTATCAAGGTCAGGTGGATGATGAAGTTGGACATAGTGGTTGAGCAGTACAATTACAGGTCATTCCCAACTGAGTTTATGTGGGAGCTAAATAAGGACACTCCTAAGGTCGCTTGGCACTCACCAATGCCCTAAGAGGGAGTCAGTTGCTCAACAGCATCCTCATTCACCCTACTTTCGCTGACATGAACGATGAAGAAGAAAGAAGAAGAGGCACAAGACCATGATGATTCATCAATCGAGAATAGCGGGTTGTTGAAGGTGTTGAAGGATAAGAATGCCTCCTCAAAGCCACTACCCAAAAGGGTTTTCAAATTAAACTACAATAGAATCGTTCAACTATAGGCATTCTTCATTAAAGAATCTCATTGAGAGATCATTTGCAGCATTAAAGAATCGCTTCTTCATTTTGAGACAACAATTCGAAAGCAAGCACATATTGTAATCACATGTTGTACTATTCACAATTACATTTGTGATTAAGACAGGAGTGATAAAAACTTTTCTCTGTACAATACATCAACCGAGAGAATATAAATTTTATGTTGTTATCAAACAAATTTCTATTACATTTCTATTTCGAGAATAGAAATTTTGTGTCATTATCAAACGCATACACTCATCCAAGGAATAAAAATATAATAATTTATTAAAAATTGTTCCCTGAAACATAATAATTATCATTCGCGCTGTTAATGACTAATCTAGTGCTGGGAATGAGAACCCTATCTGATACTAAGACTCAAGCACTAAGAAAGGCACACTCTTTTAGTTTTTGTTCTGTGATGTGATGATAGATATCACATTACCTATTATATAAGGGTGGGCAACGAAACAAATAGTTTTTTTCCACTACGAGACTATTTCTTATAACCAAACCTACTGCTTGAACTAGTACATTTTCTAGTACCAGCACAGGGAAACCTGTACTTCAAACTAGTTCCTACTTCCTGGCTAAAGCCCTAATATCCCGTTACTGTACAGAAGCGGAAACGAGAAAAGAAATGCAGGATTTAGATACTATACTAAAGAGACTCTAGTTCGAGACTCGAAACTATCAACCATGAAATCCTTATTAAAGCTCAGGACGTAACTAGAACGTAGCACAAAACGACGGATATGTATAGTGACCGAATCGGATCAATAGGAGCTTGATTGTAGGGGATGCCGGGTGGGTCAAAAGCTACGAATTCTCTCTATCCAGTTGCAGCTATTGTTTGCGAAGCACCCTCCCGAAGTTCTGGGAAAGCCATCCTTCTAGGGACCTCTTTTCTCTACCAACTTATGATGCTAGGTTAAAAAGCCACTAAACATATCTTCATCATATCTATCAACAAATCCATTTCTTTTCCTTTTCCTATTCTTTTTTTTTTGTGTGTGAATTTGCTTTTCAAATCTTGTTTAGGTTCAAGATCGCGTTACTCGAACACAATATTAAATACAATTTTTTTATATGCCCGAATAGTTTTACCTTTAGAATACACATTAATTTTTATAGAAAAAACCAAAAAAAAAAACCCAAATTATGTCCACTATGTCATATTTATTCTAAAAGTTTTTCGACAGAAAAAATTTCAAACTATACTTACAGCGACACATAAAACCTCAAACGTGTTTTTATGTGACATATTTGCCCTCCATCAAGATTTTTTCAAATAAATTTTCGATATTGTAAATCCATGTTTCTAACCGCACCGAATAATTCCTCATTTTTAAGAAGTCTTCAACCCCTTGTTAGCTAGACCAATCAAACAGGTGGATCGGGTCGAAAAATTGTCTGACTCAAATTGACCTATTCCATGCAATACAAATATAGTAACTTATACTCAACCCGACCAATATTTTTAAAACATTAAAATATATTTAACCCGATCTAGAAAAATTCATACCCAAATTGAGGTGCGAGCACAAAGCAAGCGAGTGCGAGATTGAATGAAAATCGAGAGAGAGTGAAGAAAGAGTCTTAATAGTGAGTTGGGTCTAAGTAATTTGTAAACCTATTTAATACCTATATTATTTTGAGCTTCACCGTTCTAAACTCATTTATGACCCATTTACTAAATATAACTAACTCGCATAACAACTTAGTCCATTAAACATGGGTGAAGAAATGGATTTATAATCTATTTTGATAGGTCTACCAGTGGCCTATATAATTCATGACCGCAGGGTTCTAATTAGGGACTTCTCGCTTATCGCCAAAGATAAGAAGTCCGAGCACTCAACTATCATGCCAACCTTTCGGGAAAAAAAAAAAACCTACTGTGCTGACCCATGAGATTGATAGAGTGGTGTGAGTTCAACTAGAATCAATGTGATTAGACGTCCTTCCAAGAGACTCGTTGACTGTATATAGCACTGGAACCAATGACATTTTGAGTGGGCTAATGGGGACCCTTTTGTGAAGTGGGAATCACTGACAATCCACACACCTAACAAATCATTGCATATAATCTTCTAAAATGACAACTATGTGATCATACGTATGGATTGCATTTGGGCATCTCGAGTGCTCATCCCAAGTGGAAACTTTAAGTAGTCGGGATTTTTTTATGGTTGGACATGATTGTAAACGGGAAAAAAGCGCTACCGAGCATATATCGTCTTGTTGAAAAACGACATGTCTTTTGTCGTACGCAAAAGAGGAATGCGGTGATGAATATATCTCATTGTATATTCGGTAATTCTCAAACGGAAAAAAGAATTCGTCGTTCAATCTTATCCTATTCACGATGTTTCATCTGAATAATTACTTGAATTGCCGTGACTTAAGCGGCCCCGTGGAATAGCAAAACGGGTCCTCGGAATGGGTTATGGCATGCCCTTGTTCTCTTGCGGTCTCCTCCTCCGTGTTTTTTGGACATGTTGAACCTTTTGGACCACAACATGATGGTGGTCACAGCCATCTCTCTCTCTCTCTCTAGAGTTTTCGTGAATGTACTTCCGAGCGAGTAAGGCCAACTCGGGGAGAAATTCCAAAAGCTGCATGGCTAAGGGAACGCTGCTTCAACCAGCCCGTGACATATATACACCTATGTCATTGACATATCTCACAAACGTGGATGCCCCCAAGGTGGAACAGATAGGGGGCCCATCATCTTCGCAGTCCATGTTCCATTATTTATGGACTTATTGGCGCCCCTTTGCACTAAATGATAAAAGGACAAGGTCAATAAATAAAGTTTGTTTGTATGGGTAAAGGCCACATGTTCAGAGTGAAAAGCTGCAAGCACTATAAAAATAGTGAACTTTTAACGTGGGATAGGACCAGCCAGGCGTGGCTGGAGGAGCAGGAGATTCTCTGGAACAATGATGAATTCTAGCAAGACAAGCTCCCTCGATCGTGGGAATTTATGGAAAGCAAAATGGGTCTAATGACATGTCTGCCAAAAAAAAAAAAGGGTCTAATGATACTGCTAATTTGGGTAATTCCATAAAGGTACATCATTTTGACAAAAAAAAAGAAGAAGAAAGGTATATCATCAGGTAGTGCTAGCCCTCCCGGCTCTGAATGGCTTTTTAATTATTGTTATTTTTGTTGGTTTTTCTTTTTGTTGTTTTGCAATTAATATCGATATGATTCGAATATTTATTTTCGAGATATTTTAAAACGGACTGGTATTGATCAAATCGTAGTGGTTTTGAGAATCAATCAGCAAAAAATCATAAATCGGTATATATATGACAAATTTGCTTCAAACCAATTTTTTATCACGAAAAATCCCAAACTGGTATATTTGTAATAAATTTATCTTAAACTAATTTTTTGACTAACGAAAACCCCAAACTGGTACATTTATGATAAATTTACCCCCCGTTAAGTTGGATCAATATCGCGAAAAATCACAAACTGGTATACCTATTACAAACAAAGGGTAAAACCTCAAACTGGTACACCCGTCAAATTGTCACATGTCATCCAACTTAGAAATTTGACAGTAAAATTTAATAAAAACTACTGGAAGGTAAAATTATCACAGGTGTATTAATTTTGGGTTTTTTGTGGTCAAGAGATTAGTTTGGGATAAATTTGTTACGGGTATACCAATTTAAGGTTGTTCGTGGTATTAACCCAATAAATTATTATGTTGAAATATTGTAGATTGAAAAAATCGTAATTTATGATAATCAAGATAATGGTCATATAATCTTGAAGGTATTGTCTTCGAAATTCGAATACAAAGATAGTTGTTAAATTCTCCCTCGTATCCTTAGCTATTTCAACAATTTAAAATCACATATCTATAAACTAACAAAT